TAATAATAATAATAATAATAATAATAATAATAATAATAATAATAATAGAAAGTAAAATTTTTTCTATATATTTTATAATCGGTCAACAATTGTACTATGTAAAGTATCCGAGTGCGTTTAATGGCCGGTCTAGGCCGATTTGCATGTTTTTCGGTTAAAATTGTTGACTCTACTTTTACTGCTTTAACTTTAGTTTAGTAACATTCATTACAGCTTGTAATAGCTTAGCCGACACCTAATAAAATAATAATTCCATCCACCATCGCCAAGTCCTGATGATAAGAAATTTCTTAACTACTTTACATACAACTCTTTCGGTCATGGTTCAGTCTTTTCAATCTTGGTCGCGATCAGATTCAACAATCATTTATACAAAGTCAGCGTAATAGTTAGTACCTCGTACACATGTCGTTCCATCTATTCACCAAACAATACTTCGCAGACTGTGCTCGCGTGGTTTTTCCAGCCTCACTATCCTAGAGCTACTTCTTTCACATAATTCGCCCGCTTATATAACAATTTTTTTAATTTTTCAACGCACACAACTTAAACGCATAAAATATAACGGTTATGTTCCAAATCTTCTTTTCACACAGCTAACCATTGTTACTCGTTGACGACATTATATTCCTATCGTCTACTATTACTTTCTAATACGCTATACAAACATCCACTTTTTGTTTGAAAAAAAAAAAAAGTGAAACAAATAAGAAAATTTAATTCCGTTGGGATCGAATCTTTTATACCCATCATACTTACCCATAAAAAGAATTTCTATATTTTATCGGGTTATGAAGCTTAGTCCATTTTCAATACCAACCTGCGTGCAAGAATTTCCAATGTATTTACTAAATTCAAAGTCGATAGCTTCATATATTTGCGGTCATGAGGATATTCGCAACAGACGGACAGACGGACTTGCCTAAATCGATTTAGTATTTGATGCTGATCAAGAATGCATATACTTTTCGGGGTCGCCGACGTGTCCTTGTGGGCGGTGTAAACTTTTTGAGAAAATGAATACACGCCCTATCCTTCGGTGATGAGTATAAAAGAAATGAAGTCAAGAAAAATATAGTGACAGCGATACAAAAAATCAATCAAAATATTATAAATAAATAAATAATTTTTATTAAAAATTTACTAAAAAAGGAAAATAAATAAAAGTATATACATATAATGCACAGGAGCAACACTTGCGAGTTGCGGAAGCATTTACTAGCATCAACCAATAAAGAAAAGTATCTAATGTTAACCTATAATGTAAATAAATTACCTGCTTTAGCTGTGCCCCGCCGGCGAATCACTTGTTATTGACTCGCTAAATATTCAATAGGAGGAAGAAGAACAAGAGTTATTTTATTTATTTAAAAAAAAAAAAAAAAAAAAAATTCCAGCCTGAAAATACTATACTATACTATACTATACTATACTATAGATAAACAGTAAAGTAATGTAATTTTTATTAAACTTTTTTAGAGGAACAATGTCATCCTAGTCCTTGCGGAACGAATACTAAATGTGAAATAGTTAATAGTGTTCCGACATGTTCTTGTTTACACGGTTATATCGGTAATCCTTTGACCGGATGCCGTCATGAATGTGATCATGATGGCGATTGCACTGCCCGTGATATGTGCAGCAATTTTAAGTGTGTGCCCGCTTGTCAGCAATGCGGTACGGGTGCCACATGCAATAGTGTAGCTAACCATCGGGCGATATGCGAATGTCCGAAAGGTTACATCGGTAGTCCTTATACCGAATGTCGTCCAGAGTGTTATGGTGATTCGGATTGTCCATCTAATCGGCCCGCGTGTTTTTATGGTATCTGCAAAAATACCTGCGAAGGAGCTTGCGGTATTGGTGCCGATTGTCGTTTGCGCGGTTTAACACCTGTGTGCAGCTGTCCCCGTGATATGACGGGCGATCCGTTTATCCGCTGCCGTCCATTCACCAAAGAAGATTTATGTGAGCCAAATCCTTGCGGCACCAATGCTATTTGCATTCCCGGTCACGATAATACTGGACGTGAGCGCCCCGTTTGCAATTGCTTGCCCGGTTATACCGGCAATGCTTTAACTCATTGCCTTCGAGTAAGTCGTTAATAATAATTTGCCAATCATCTTCTTCCTTAATGCATTCAATAAATAACGCAAATTATTCTCGTTTTGCAGGGTGAATGTACAAGCAATAGCGAATGCCCCGGTCATAAAGCCTGCATTAACTACCAATGCGTAAATCCTTGCATTGGTAAATGCGCGTCCGGTGCCACCTGTGAGCCTAAAGCTCATTTGGCCGTTTGCAAATGTCCGCCTGGTTATAGTGGCGATGCCTTGATCTCTTGTCGTCAAGCTCGAACTCAACCGGTCGCAAAATATACTTCATGTGCCGCATGTAAATAAGTCAACAGCGACAGTCGTTGATGCCATTAATGTTTTATGCCATAAATTTTGTTAATAACTAATATTCAAATTTCTTTTTAACTTTATTCTTACACATCTACACACAATGCAGTTTTTGTAACTTTTGCGGCTGATTTTCTTAATATCTTTTGCTTACTCGTGATTTTATTTATATATATATATTCTTACAAAGAAATGCTCTTTTGTTGTTAAAAGTCATATATGTGAAAAAGAACGAAAACTTAATGAATTCTGAATTTTATTTGCCTTGCGGAGGGTAATGTTTACATTCACTTATCTTTCAAAGCTTAGTTTACGGGGATAGTAAGCAGGTTAACTGACATCGTTGCTTCTATCCTATGATAGTTGCCATTAAAGAGCGCGACGAATATGAAAATATATTCTAACAAAATTTAGACTAAGGAATTAGATTCATAAACACACATATATATATATATATATATATATATTGTTGAAATAAATAATTTTTCTTTATAATATTATAGTTAGGTGACTTTCATAAGTCCATAGTTTCTGAATTGAATCGGTAGATCGGATTCATTGCCTTTTAAGCCCGACACTATTTATCGTAAGACTTATACTAAGATTGCATGAGCATATGTAATATCCAAAAGTACTTAACACATACCCGCATGTTTTAAGCTTGTCTGTTCCTCTGCTTAGGTATTTTTGTATTTAACCTATAGGTCATAGTTTTGAGATATTATGATGAAATTTGGTAAGCCGATGTGTTTTAGATCGGATCGGACCCTTAAAAATGCTCCTCCTCCTTCTTTCGAAGAAGAAGTCATAATAGAAAATTTTTTATTTACAAATATGTTGGAAAATCCATCCAAATGTACTGCCAATCGCGACACTTTAAATGAATCTTTTGTAGAATCTAAAAATGATACTCGAAGTAGCTCCTAGATATTCTGACAATGGCCATTTTACCAATTTTAGTTATAATTAATCTGCCCAAGGGTTTGGCTATTGCAAATCGTAGCTTATATTTGGGAAAGTTAAAGTTTTATTTCGGCTCCAGTTCTAGCGGTGAAGATGAAAAAGTAAATCTTACCTAATCGTAATCGTTCTTAGTTTGTTAAGGTGGGCAGTATTTGTTTTGTACTTGAACTGGTGTTCCACAAGAATCTATTTTAGGTCCGATTTTGTTTAATAATTTCATAAACGATTTGGTTATTTTCCAGCTAAATTTCCTTTTTTATATATTTTCATTTACACATAGATGATAGCAAGAAAGTTGACTTGAAAGTCTTATGTAATCATTGATCAACCAAAACGTTGATCAATTATCGGCTTGATTGCGAACGAAAGTTAACTTTCAGATACGTGCCTACATCTAATGGCATACAATGTTACAAACAATGCTGCTTTAAATGCTACAACGAACTTATAGAATATCATATTTTTGTTTACATCGTCTGTCGACTAATTTTTTGTGGAAACTATTTTCTTTTTCAGTATTAAAACAATAAATCACACGTGATGCTCGTTACAAGATTTAACCCAAATTGATTATTGCTCTCTTATAAATTTGGAAAGTTAAAATTTATTATCTCTTAGCTGAATTTAATAATTTTTATTGTTAGGTAATTATACTTTGCTACTTTGCCTTTTTTTTTTTTCTCTCTACTGGGTCTCAACTTGAATCATTAGTACTACAATTGTCGGGAGAAAAATCACGACATTTCATTGGTTTGTTGTGGAGCTCAACTAAATTTACAAAAAATTACGTAATGCAAAGTACGTTAGATCATTGTCATCCTTATTTTCATACATTTTCGTAAAGATGAAAGGAGTTTTTGAAACCCACCTTTCGCATTCATTTTGATTGATGAATAGTTTTTTTATTGCTACGAAATAAATAGAAGTATCATTTGATATACGTTTATAGATGACTAATAAATATACCAAGCAGAATCAGTCTATCTTAAGGTTTTGCTTTCGTTAAATCAAGAAAACAGGAATCGAAAATTTGCTTATTTTATATTGATCTGTTTTTCTAATTTCGTTGTTTGTGAGACAAGTTCCTATTCACACATTGAAGCTGCTTTTGTTTGTATTTGCAATTTCGTTTTTCTGCAAACCGATAGTAGAAGATGTATGATTGCATTTCCAGCATCCGACTTATATCATCGCGGCAATTGGTGCATATTACAAGCTATTAGAATTCTAAACCCATCGCCTTCCTTTATCAATCAATAGAAGACGCTCGCTGTGCCTCAATGCATTGCATGGTTTACTGTTCGTTAAAAACAACATATATTTGATGGCTGATAAGACAATTTAATATTTTCGGAGCAGATTTTATGAGGACTCCCTGAAACCGTATAATTTAAGTACTGCAATATTTCAGTGGATTCTTCAAAATATTTGTCTTCTTTTTCTTCTTCTTCTTCTTCTTCATTACAATGTATTCTAAAATATCATTTGGTTTGGTTGGGGAATCGTTTTAATGCGTCGCATATTCAATAACAATAAATTATACGTGTAGTGTGTAAAAATTCATAGACGTTTGCCTTCGATTGCAAAGATATATTTCTCACAAGGGATAGTTGCCTGCAGTATCTATTTATTTTTCTTAAATACAAAATGCAAGAAATTTTATAAAATATGTAGTTTTTTTCTTCTTTTTTTTTTTTTTTAACCATTAAGGATTTTAGATATACATTGATTAAAACATTTTTACATTTTCACTGTGCTGAAAGAAAAACCATTACTTTGCAGTGGCATTCAGTTTTTTCATATCAACTTCAAAAAATTTCAATTGCCGAACTATAATTTGTATATGTGAACCTAAAGGAAATACGTGCAAATTATGAGCCAATGTATCAGTCTACTGTAATATTATACATATATATATATATATATATGTATATAGAGAGAGAGCCAAAAAAAAAAAAAAAAAAAAAAAAAAAAATTACAAAATACGATGTTTTTTGCTTTCTTTCGTTCTTCCTTAATTTGGTCTTTCTTATTCATTTTATACAATAAGTTTTTATACAGTACGCATTTGCATTTGTTGTCTATTATTGCTAACTGAAAGTGATCAATGAGCACGATGATTATGATAACGAATAGATATAGTGATGCAAGGAATGCTGTTCATTGCTGTTTCAACTGCAGCATTTGCTCTTTCGTTTATTTTTTTGATGTTTGAGGTTTATTGTATCTTTTTGTTGCTCGTTTTGTGCATTACGCAACTTGTGCTGGAGGACTTGTCGTGTGATCGACAGGAACATTTCCTCAACGTTAACATTATCTTTGGCAGATGTTTCGAACAGCTCGATATCCATTTGACGAGCAAAACGTTGGGCATCCTCGGTAATTACAACTTTCCGATCGGGATCGTCATTTTTATTACCCACTAAGTAAAAGAAAAGCACACATGCGCAAACATATTAAACATATTAATTATGTATATAATATTTAATTAAAATTATTAAATATATTACCCAACACTTTATTCACTACATCACAATTGTTCTGTATTTCGTCCAACCATCGTCTCACATTGGCAAAGGATTCACCATTCGTAACATCATAAACAATGATGACACCGTGTGTACCACGATAATAAGTGCTTGTAATTGTACGAAAACGTTCTTGACCTGCCGTGTCCCAGATCTGTAACTTAACTCGCATACCATCGATTACCACAGTGCGTATTTTAAAATCCACCCCAATTGTGGTTATGTAACTGCCCGAGAATGTGTCGTCCGAGAAACGAATTAATAATGACGACTTTCCAACACCTATCAAATGAACACACACGTCAAGTACACAATATAGAAATAGTTATATGAAATAAATAATAAACTATTCATGGGTTAATTGCAAAATTTCCTTCTCTCTCTTCTTGACGAGCTTTTGATGGCCTTAAGTCATACCCAAACATATCCTACGCGATAATTTCTATTCAGATTTAAAACTAACGTTGCATAAATATCGGTTTCATTCTTAACTGCGGTTGAAAACATAATCACGCTGGACCGTCATGGAAGACCTGAATTCACAAAAATCTATTTACATTTACTTATTTAGATAGGAGTAGATAATGTCTGTCAAATGTTTGTAGCATTTAAATATGCTCAGCGGGGATTCTGGAAAATGTTTATATTCTTTATTAGCGTTACGCCCATTTAGGTTAGTCTACCTGTTTGTCTGTTGCATTCAAAACTCTGCCCGGATTATTTGTCATCAATTGTTTTAGGTTCAAGTGCTTCAGACTGAAAGAAAAATACCAAATACTAAATTGTATTATTATATGCAGACTTTCCCCGCTTACCGCAGTAATTATAAAGCACGCAGCAAAATTTGCAAATATTGTAACAAGTTTTCGATACGACACTATTTCAAAAAATCGAATATATGTTAATTCAAGCAACTTTGAGAAAAACATAAATACATCATCAGCTGTAGTTTTTATGAAAATAATAAAAAAACGTTTTCATTTCATATGTTTTTTGTTTTTTTTATGACAATTTAAAGTTGACTTGCGTTTTCATTCATATGTATTCATATGTATATTTGGGATGGAATTTCATAGTTAGTTTTCATCATAAAATTTTAGACCTTAAGACTTGGTTTCGATACAATATGATACACTTTTTTTGACTTATATTATATCTACTCGATAGGTTTTAGTTTTAATAAAAAAAAAGTAAAAAAGTTTCGTGTAATACGATTTCAGTACATCACGGTGGGAATGTTAAGCGGCGGACGCCTGTGTTGAACATTTGGAAATACTGCGATGCGCATAATAAACTAACGCGTATGTTACATCACATTCATATTCGACAATATATATTTTTTACTTCGTGTCGAAATGTCATTATTAAAAACAAATAAGAATAAATCTACGGTAATCTACGTTATACAGAATATGGTTATTGTTAACTTTTAAAGGATGCAGATAAAAACCAACAATATCGGGTCTAAGGGTTCTTAATATGTAGGACTGGGAGTTACGAATGCATTTAATATACACCCCAGATGAGAATAGCTGTCCAGAGATACTTTTATGCAAAAGTGACAATGTGAGAGCATGTAAACGTTTTAAAAACTTACCACTGTCGCCGATGATTAAAAGCTTAAATAAATGATCGAAACCCCGCGCCATGATAATATATTAAAATTTTTTCTCTGCTGCGTAACAGTGAAGACAGTTTTTTTCTTGATGTCTTGCAAACTGTAACGTGCACTTATTAAGAGAAGAGAGCGTAATCTTAGGAGGAAGAGAAAGAGCGTGGAACTTCCTTGGTTTTTTTTTGATAACTGTGCGTTCGCAACACGAAAATTGTGTTTATTTTTATTGTTTTCAGCAACTTAAATAATCAAAAATTAACATACATCCACAAAAACAAAAAGAAAACCAAAAAAAGAATCCAAGCCGATTAAGTGCAGCTACAGCTCTTTTAGGCTAGTAAGTTGCATTGATAAGCATATCATTTGTTCATTTTTTCTGCAGGGCATCTAATGGGCGGTTATCTAAATTTCGTTTATTAAACGGACCAATAGAGTAATTGTCGAGTAAATGCAACGACTCCAAAGTACTTATTACTAGATATACTGGAAGAAACTTGCACGTTTTGGAAGGCTTTCATATGTATAGAAGAAAAATATTAAATCGACAGCTGGCAGCAGTTAATCTGTCGAAATTTCCTTTTCGTATAACTGATGTGAACGTAAGCTTGTTATGCATTCGATTTGCTTTCCATGTAATGATTACAGCTCGTCTCTTTTCTAAGCTTTGTCACAAACACTTTATCATCCGCAGACAAACAATTCTTTCGCTCACTTCTACGGCTGATGATTTACATCACTTCACTTCACTCCCTCCTCTATATAAATTTGATAATCAATTTCACTTCAGCTATCAATTTTGTTCTCGCTGCTTTGATTTTTCAAGAACTTGTGATTTAAAATAGTCAATATTTGTTCCTATACTGCATCACTTGACATGTTTTTAATTAATTAAGGGAAATAATTTAATGTTCGTATTAAACTACAGATCTTTTCTTTCTTTTGAATTATATTTTTCTTCGTCAAATGCGTCATCCTATTGTCAGCGTTGCCATAAGTAAAAATTTTTATGTAATATTATAAATCAATATATTGCAGTAGCCAACAGTAGTCTCTACATATATGTAAAAAGAAAACTAAAAAGGTAAAATCCAATGTTACGGCAATAACGCTTTGCATTTCGCTAATAACAAACAGAAATTTTGAAAATCAATCAGAAATTATTTGATTTCATAATCAGGGGAACTCTGAACTTCTTATTCATACAATTTCTATGAGGTTGCAGTGAAAACTGAAGTAATCCAATTTCACATTAGCAAACACAATGATCATTGATGAAGTTGTAGTTTTCGACTATGTTGCATTATCCATTATCCATACAAACCAAATGCTCTCTACAACATTCTGTATTGCTTAGTTGGTGCTAGTGCCGAAGTATGATAACTTCTAGTGTGTTCGTTGCCCTATCCCAATTATGCTTGATTTATGTCTAAAATTTCCTTCGACTTGTGTTCAAAATCCCTCTGGACTTGTGTCCAAAATTATATAATTCCACAAACATATTCACGTCGCAAACAAAAGAAAAATAAACGAAACAATAAAACAAAGCAGTCTCTACGAAGAACATTTACGGCATGAATTGGCTAAGCTCAGTTATAGTTCTCGTACGTCGTATTATCGAAAATCCACTCAAAATATTATACACAGTTAAGAATGTTTCAGAGTATGACCATAGTTTCGCAAAACTCCTTTTCTATGATTTGTCTTCGGGACGAAAAATCTTTATTTTGGCTCGGAGCTTGAGCTGTGCCCCAATATGAAATGATTAAAAAAAGTCTTAAAGTAGCTGTTAAACAGATGTTCCCATTCATCAGTTGCCTTAAGAGCTTTTTAAATGCTTCTTTTAGTTTTGAAACTGTGACGTCTGTTAGAAATTAAATTTAGGCTTTTAATTATTTGTTTTGTCGATAGGAAAGCAGTTGTGTTTTTTGTGTTTAAACTTTAAATCGTATCATGATTCAATTTCAAATCAAATTCTGAAAGTTGTGTTAATCTCTTTCATTTAGCAAACGTAAATTCTGCAACTCGTATACATAGAACCGGAACTTTTAGAAACAACAAGTAAAAACACTATAGAGGAACACTTTAGTTAAAACTTATATAGCTGTATGTTGGAGGATGATCACGGCGAATGAAGGAAATTGCCAGCTCCTGCCTAATGCTTTTCTACGGTTGTAAAGTTTTCATTGTTTACGGTTGCGATATTCGCGTACGTAGGATATTGAGGGAAAGGTGGGATTGGGGGAATTTGTCTGTTCGATTCTCGCATTACTTCTCTCATCGATCCTGCTGTTGCAACGGATTATCATTAACTGTGCTATTCAAAGATTTATAAAAAGAGTAAGAGAGAGAGAGAGAGAGAGAGAGAGAGAGAGAGAGAGAGAGAGAGTAAGAGTCCGAAGTTTGTCTGCGCCAGAGACAACGAAATCAATAGATGCGAGCATCGACGTCACTTACTAGAAATTCTTGCCTCGACAGAATATTTGTTTACAGTGCACTAATTGAAAAATTAAAAATCAGCTCAAATTGCTTAAGCTACGATTATTTTAATATTTCATTCATTTATTTAATTGTTTAATTGTGCAATATAAATAATATAATAATAATAGAATGTGAATAGATGCCGTGTAGAATAACTCATCTATGATATGGAAAATTGGATAAAGCAGGTCTTATGTTGTGTTAAGCAGCAAATAAAATTAATAAATATATAAATTAAATAAGTAAATTCGATAAAGATCAATATAAAACTACAAAATAATTTCTTTTAATAGTAAAAAAATTTCTTCATATTTCTTGATATGAAAATTTTCGTTGAGACTTTTCAAAGCATTTGGCGAACATAGAGTTCAGAATCCTTCAATTCTTCAATATAAATGATGAAAAGAAAGCAAATTATATTTGCTGCACATATATATACATACGGATTTATTTGATTACCATAGATTATATTAACATAAAAATACAGAATTGTATTGTATTCTGGAATCTGTGACCGTATATTTTTTTATTATTTAAGTAAAATGAAAGGGCAAGCCTTCAAATGACAGCGTTTTCGCTGTTGTTCATAACAGAAACACAATATATATTCGTAATATGTTTCCTACTCTGAATTCCTAATCAAAATGTCGGACCATCTATATATTTCGCTGTCTCTTATACAGCTTTTTTGTCTCTTTCATTGTCTTGTATCTATGCTTAGATTTTGCGGTTTTTCAAGCGGTATAAATACAAATTTCTTGCCACACCTTTAGTTGCACCCATTCTAATGGGAATTTCCATGCATGGCATTGTGTTTGCAATGCCAAAATAAGCATTTTTTAGTTTCTGTAGTGTTTACTGATGACGTCAAGGAATTTTTGTTTTTATTTATTTATATATATTTTTTTTTTTTTTTAGTGCATGCAAGTATACGCCGTAATGTAAGCTGCATTCTATAAGTTGGTAAATACATAGCATTTCCCTGTGTTTTGCTTTTCCTTCGTTTTACGTTGGACGTATATCAATATATGTAAGGCCGAAACTTGTAAATTAACTTATATTTCCTAACACTTTTCACATTCTCTTTCTTATATCGGACATTTTCAATACACCGGCCTATGACACGCGATCTGTCTATTAACGAGTCTTTAGCCATTCTTAACTCCTGGATGATAGATAATATGCTTTGCATTAACTCCAGCAAGACTAAAGCCTTCCCCTGCTGGAACGATCATTCAGCCTTATTACCAAAAATATCTGGGTATCATATTGGTCTTGTACATTTAAGGCAACGTCTTGGCGACATTCTTGACCGCAAATTTGACTTTGGTCCCACACACTAGCCATGTCTCTAATCCGAATACTGTATAATCTAGATCTATATCTGCTTCTAACGATTAAATATAACGTCGCACATTCCCTCCTTATGATGCAATGTATTAAAGTCTTTTTTTTGGGTGCCCAAGGTGAAACTTAGAGAGGCTTCAGAGTATTATTAACCGTGTAAACATGTTTTGTTTGTAATGTTAAACTTGGAGGTCATATTTCCTCCTTCATTTACGCTTTCTTAGAATCATCTCATTTCCCGATTATCTACAATTCAGGTTGGTCAAAATCAAAATCGATCCCCAAGGCTCTTAACTGAACGACTGCACTTCTCTTGATCGAATAGAAATCCTTTCATGTTAATACCGCGTGTGGCTCACCGTCATCAGCCGAACGATCTTTTACATATACGTACTGCTAGATATGAGAATGCCTTAGAGAATTGCATCTGAAATCTTTCGATGATTCTTTGAATATGCACCGCCAAGCTCATAATGTACGAGTTTAGGAAGCAAGAGGATTACATTAGCAACCATTTAGCTGATTTGTATACTCACTTATGTTGTAATTCCGTTTTTGCAGATGAAATGTATGTATTTCGGTATGGAATACGCCTATAGCTTTATAATTGTTTAACAAATCCATGAAAACAATTAGTGTAACATTTGCAAATTGTTGAATTCAACCGAAAACATAAAATCTGGGCCTTTTTTTTTTTTTTTGGACACAAAAATTACCCCGAATTTCTATACTTGATAGCAATTTTAAGTGGACTATAATGTGGAGATTCATTAAATGAATGACAACATACTTAAAAAAAGCATAAAAACGGAATGAAAGGTAACATGCGTAAGGCAGACGAACGTGCAAGCGGAAAAGCAAAAACAAAATGAAAACTTTTAGAAAACACAGAATATGAAAAGAGAAACAAGTACGTATTTTGCATATTTACTTTACAAAGAATGCAAAAAAATCATTGCTTAAGTATGCTGGGCTCATGTAACTGTGCTAATAATTGAGCTATTGCCTAAAAGGGAGGTCGCGACATGAAGAAAATGGGGAGCTGTGTTGTTGCGCTAAGGAATGCATGGTGGACGGCCATATACACAAAGAAGGCATGTGCAAGAAATTTAAATAAACGGATATGAGCACATCAGCGGGCCAACTTATATCATTCAGAATATCAAAATAAGTAAATATTCTTAAAATCAAAAGATCAAAAAAAAAAAAAAAAAAAAGAAAATAGAAAAAATTATTGTCATATATAGAATATAATAAAACAATATGAACGAACAACATTGTCGAGCAGGTGTAATGAATGGAAAGGTAAAATAGAATAAGTCCTTGATGCGTTAATTGCTTAGTAGGAAGAGAAGAAATGTTTTCACAAATGCACAATGGGAAGGCAGACTTGGCGGACGGACAGACTTATGATAGGAATCACAAACGGTAAACGGAAATCAATCTGATTGACCGAGCTTTTTTATAATATGTTCTTGCATGTTCCTAAGCATGTTTATATTTCAATTATTATATCGTTTTTTCTTTTCTTATTATGTTTTATGTGATGTATGTTAACTAACCTCTATCTTACACATGACACAATAGAGTGAATAAGTAATAACTGAAGAGAATGTATTATTACATAATGAGTAATATATTAATTGTAATAATGTTTTTTTTTTTTTCGATTTTTCCTTTTACCATATTATATATGTTTGTGCGTTACGTCATTACTAGATTAGTAAGCTAGACAGGATCTGGGTGATAGTCTATTTCCATTTTTGGAATAATATATCTATGCGTTGATGCATGATGAATGTTTGTTTTGCTTTAACCATCACATATTTGTTTAATATAATAAATGGGTGTGGTTAATTTTTTCGGAATAAAGACAGTTTATCTTCAGGTGCGAAATGTAGAATGTGTAGAATAATTCTCAACATTCTCAACCGTCTTGTTTACGTTATGAGTACGTCAAAAAAGGTAAGCAAAAGTAGTGTTTCACTTATAGAAATAGAGGTGATTTTAGTTTGGCTTAGCTTCACTGTGTATGCCTCCTTTGATCGATTTGATCGATTTGATCGATTTGACCTTGATTCTCAATAGTAATCTGCGTGCAAGAATCTTTATA